CTTGTGTGTCTCTTGAAGAAAAGGATGGATTTTAATAAGTAATTCTTAGTTGAAAATCTTCATCTGTTTATCTATTGAAGGCAGTCTGATTGAAGATGGCCGCCACAGCTAATCAACCATAACAAACACATAAAAGACTGAAGTTCAGTTAGTTTTAAGGTTACTTGGTTAAATTTTGTCACTAAGCCTTTAATTCCAGCTGTTTTTGTTCCGACGTATTAATTAAACTGGAGAATAATCTGCAGCTGGGTGGGTGAACACGGTCCAATGAAACGAGTCGCAGCTGCTCTCTGATTTAAAGTTTTCTCTCTGAGGAGACAGATGTTGCGTCACAAAACACAAATAAAAGCAGGGAGTTTGTGACGATCTGATTAATGAAGAAAGGAAGCTGATTTCTAAAACACACCAGGATCTGTCGGYTCTGAGGAAACGAGACAAATACAAACTGATCATGTTTAATGATCCTTTTTGGAAAAGTTCGGATTTGAGTCAACTCATCACACATCTGGGCTGTAAAAGTTGCTTCGCTCCAAACACTCTTTCATGTATTTTTACAGGAAGTTAATGAACCAAAGTGAAAAAGTAAAAGTTTCCTCTGATGAAAACATAAGATTCGACGTGGAAATGTCACCGACCTCAGACTGTAGAGCACGTGTCCGTCTGGGTAAACTCGCAGCATGATGTTGTCGGTGGTCGTGTCGTGGATGAAGGACCTCTTGGAGTGAACGAAGAAGACGTCGGGGACCCAGATCTTCTTCACCAGGCGCCCGTCGAACGTCATGCTCTTGTTGGTGCTGCTGCTGAACGACAGGCGCTCGTCCTTCCAGTAGTGCCTCAGGTACAGAGTCATGGTGAAGTCCTGGTGGGAAGACACGGGACCAGTGTGGTATAACAAGTAGCTTACCAAAAAATTACTTTGGTTAAAGTTCGTCTCCTTCAGGAATATTACTTGAGTAAAAGTCTTAAAGTATGATATTTTTTGTACTTAAGTATTAAAAGTACTTATTTAAAATGAGCAGTTAGATTTTCTGTAAGGACATTTATTAGGAGGTGACCTCCCCAAAAACTGCAGAAATGACTGTTGTATTAAAAGAATGAATGGATGTTAAATTTAGGATGCACTAGTCCAGCTGTTTCAGTTTATATACATATATCAAGGCTGCACAAAGCTTTTCCCCAAAATGAAAATCYATCTGAGGGCTGCGGCCAAATGTAATAATATAATTCATGAAATACAAATACTTCTTAAGTACAGTCCTTTGATTTGAATGATTATGTCCTGCTGGAGTGTAGGGGTCACCTCGAGTCAAATTATCAAGGAACTATCTTGGACTCTCAGTCCTCTGATGGGCCTTCTAATGGACAAAAACTCTGTTCCACTTAGAACTGGATTTAGGCCACCCCAGGCCACTTTCCTTCTAAATCAGATAAAAACAGAAGAATCTTCTCTTATTTGATTTATTGTTCTCTTAACTGAAAGTATTACGCGTTTTGATAATCAGAGAATGTTTATCAAAGTTACAGGAGAAGAGAGGACAGATCTCTTTTCTCCCTCAGTATGATTTCAGCTATGTATGGTTTTTCTGTGAGAAAAACTCTTATTTAACTAAAATAATCTTTATGGTTTAAGTTGATGAAATATCAATGTTTTACTTGTCTGAATCATGTTTGCAAATGTTTTGAACTTGAAGCAATTCATTTTTCTTTCAGTTATATTTTAAATAAGTGCTCATCACACAATTTAAATGGGTCATGAAATGTGTTGTTCTGAACCACACAGCAGCAGCAATAATCTTTGTTTTAGTTTCAGGAGGCACAGCGAGCTCTGAAACTAACACTTTCCTTGATAATTTCTTGTTCTAATCTAACCTTCTGGAGGGCGGACCATAGATTCTCTAAGCTTTTAGGAACTAACAGTTTCCGCCCGTCACACGGAGAAAAGACAGAGAGTAAAGGTGACTGACCGCCGTCACTCACTGTGACAGCTAGATTCTCTCCGGGGAATCAAAAGCTGAAAACTGTGTCAGGTTTGGCCCCTTCACGCCAACGGGGAAACCTCACAGTGTGGAAAACCACGCCTGGTTTATCCACCTTCAGAAACTCTCCAGACGGAAGTTTTATTTACAACCTGGGTTCCAGTCGAGGCCTTGTCTTCTGGTTGCGGCTGACGTGGACGTAAACGAATCAAAGAGCACGCCTTGGGGTCCCCTGTTCGACGGACTAAAGACAGATTATCCCGGACGAGCCCCCACCTACCTGGCTGGTGACAGAACATCATCTCAAAGTAAAAGCTGGCTGTGTGTGACGTCGAGGTCTGACCAAAGCTGAGCACAGAACGCTTCGCCCTTCTGGTTAAAACCCACATTATTTAAGATAAAGTGTAGAAAAGTTAACATCTTTCTTCAACCTTTTTCTTAACCTTGTCCTTGCCAACTCCTAAGATAAACAGCCTCAAATGTCTGGTATTTAACATCTAATCTGACGTTTGTGTTTCTATTTAAGTGTGGTTAAMAATTAAGAAGTTAAAAGCTTGTTATTGTTGGTCCCAAAACTTTTATAGGAAATTAATTATTCACAATCAGGTGTACTCTAGTCAAACTTTGTATGATTTGTAAAATAAATGATCGCATATTATGGTTCAAATCAACATTCACTGACAGAGTTACTTTTTGTGTCCATTCATTTTGCACTAAAGGAATGTTTATCCAAAATAAAAGAGATCCTTGCTAATTAAATTACTCTTATAACCTTGTTATAAGAAGTGTAAGAATAAACCCTTACAGGAGTGTGACATGATTTGTTTGTGTACAAACTAATACGGTATCAGAATTTTATATATTTGTACTTCTCATTCAACCACAGTTAAATTCACTCTATAGGAAGCACAGTTTATATGGATAGTTTTTATTTTTTATAATAACAAGCTGCAATGAAAACAAGCAAAAATTAAATAAAAGTAACGACTTTCTACTTCTTGTATTTTTAAAAATGTAAGGAGTAGAAGTAAAAAGTAGGCTGAAAAATAATCACTCAAGTAAAGTACAGATACCCAAAAATTCTACTGTAACAAAGTATTTGTACTTAGTAAGTTTACAACTCTGCACAGGACAGAGTTATAAGTCTACGTTCCTGACTGTCTGAGACGTTTTCTTACCATGTCCACCTCAGAAATGCTGTCCAAGCTCTCCACCTGAACGTCCACTCCGACAGGGATGGCCGGACCTGCAGAGAAAAATCTGGATCATTAACAAAACTAAAACTGGTCAGTTTTAATCCCAAAGATCAACCATGGACGAATGGATGGACGAGTTTTGGACTGACTTAGAGCAGAAAAATACCTCATGAACCACTGGACAGATTTGAATAAAACCTGATTTAAAATGGCCGCAGCAGCTAATTACCTTAAACAAACACATATCTATGATTCAGTTGATTTGATAGATTTTCAGCTGAAATTTTGTGTGGTAATAGCCAGGGCCGCAGAGGCAGAGTAAGGCAAATGCTAGGGGTGCCATCCATCCAGAGGGCGTTACAAATAAAGACTGAAAAACAATATTTTCTAACCTTTTAATCAGAGTTTAGTTGGTTTAGTTTGTAGAATAATCACTGATTACTCAAGCTAACTTGCTACTTTCCTCCTGCATGAGGTGTTACATAGATTTTTCAAAATAAAAGTATTGTATCATATGATGCAGTCCAGACTAACTAAACATTCTCAATGTGGAAATAGAAAACAAAATAAAAAGTATGAAAGTTTCAGTTATGATCTCAGTTTGGTTTTCAGTGTTCTGCGTTAAAAATACAGATTTTATTTTGCTTTATTAATCCCAAGAATAATAAAAAAATGCTTCTTTTACATTTTCTGGGTCAGTATACCCCTGGACCCCCCTAGAACTGCTTCACTCCACAGCTGCTGGTTAGCATGAACAGGTGTTCCTCATCATGTCAGCAGATGATGGCAGGTATGAGGTAGACGTCTGGTTTTATGTTTCAAATTAATTATATTGTTGATTAATTTAACAGGAAAACCTGGTTTCTAAAGATAAAAATAATATCAAAGACAAAACTATTTAAAGAGGGTAACCACAATCATGTTAGTATGCTACCTTCAGCTGTTATAAAAAGCTGAATAAATCAAAAATAAATTTGATTTTATATCATAGTCTGTCTAAACGCCTCTGTCTCTTTAAGAACCTCCTACCATTTCTGACACTCCCACTTCAGCCCATCTTCACAACAATGCTTTGGGGGACGAGTGCTCTGTTGGCTGCACACTCCAGGGAGGAGCTTTGTGTAAATAGGCGGAGCTTTGTTCCAGCAAGGGTTTAGTCAGCTACCATAGGAGATTCAAGGATTTCTCAAACATAAATGAGTCAAAACAACACTCTGGGGATGTTTTTGATGTGAGAATGACATTAGAACATGATGCACAGTAAGGCTCAGAAAAGTTATTTATGCATAGCCCCCCCCCCCCCTTTAATTTTTCATTTGAATGTTGATTTATACATCTTGCAACTTATACATCTTGGTTTGTAAGAGATCTCTGTTTGCATGAAAAGCAGCAGAAGAAATTCTGTTTTATTGTTTTTAGTTTGGTCTGTTTGCATCAGAAATATTCTCCTCAGGATTTATTTATCAGTTTATCTGAGAGCATCAATCATGTCATGAAATCATGAAGTCTTTCTTGAAAACAGCAAACAGATAAAAGAATAAAAGATTAAAAACCCAGACTTTGAAACAGTGACATCTGTCTGAATCAGAGTTTACAGAACCATCAGGCTGTCTGAGGTTTCTGGGTCTCTCCTCGTCGTTCCGGCTGCTCTGGAGTTTGTGGGGTAACAGCTGTGGGATGGCGGAACAGATCGCTGCTAATCTGAGCCGCGAAACAGAAAAGAACCGCCTCCAGCTTTAATCTGCAGCCGGCGGGGCCTGGCGCGCCGCCCGCAGAGCTACGATCAGCCCCTCGGAGTGAAGCTAGCAGCCCCTCAGAAACAAAGCTGACCTCCACAGATGGTTTCTGGGTGCAGCTCACGCTCCGGCTCCCATCCAGCTCATCGGTGCTGATCCACTGACCGCAGAAGGAGGTCGAGCCTCTTACATCAGTCTGATATCTTATTACTTCAGACTCTGAAGAGTTTTAATCTGAGCAGGAGAAATAAATCATCTGCTCCCGGTTTGATTTGATCTTCACAGTTTAAACGGAAGCAGCAGCTGTGACAGCCCCGCTGATCTGAGCTGTCACATCCACTCGCTTCATTTATCACATGAGCTTCAAACGGGAGATAAAAATAGGAGGGAATTTGTGCATTTCAGTGACGCGATCACGGCCCTCTGACCTTTTTATTAAGACTAAAAGATTACAGAGCGCTCAGTGGCAGAGAGTGACAGCTCTGATCAGCTCCTCTGAGGACCAACAGACATTTCAATCATCAGAAAATACAAATTAAAGACGTTAAATTAGAAGAAAACACTCTTCTGTTTCACTTTCTAAGCAGTTTTCATGTGAACACAAGGCTCCATCTTCGTGTCAGTGCATGTGATCACAGGACGGACTGATGTGGAACAGCTGGTGCTCAGCAGGAACCAGGTCCACCTCCAGCTCCACAGATGAAGATATGATGAGTGTCGATGCAGCAGCAGGAACTTCCTGCAAGAGCTGCTTCAGCAGCTGAAGTTATCAGGGAGTCTGGAGCTTCCTCTGTAGCTAACAGCTAACAGCTAACAGCTGAAAAAACCTGCTGTTTGTGATGAAATACTGTAGAGTTTAACTTTGGATGGATGATGGATGGATGGACAGACGGACGGATGGACGGACGGACGGATGAACGGACGGACGGATGGATGGATGGATATGGACGATGGATGGATGGATGA